TCATTGTTGCCACCACTCTTGGAGTCTTGGAGTCATCGTGGATAGTTCTCTGAAGACGTCCACACAGTGTGCAGCGGCAGTCAGAAAAGCAAACAGGATGTTAGGGATCATTCAAAAAGGGATAGAGAATAAGACGGAGAATACCTTATTGCCCTTATATAAATCCATAGGACGCCCACACCTTGAATACTGCGTACAGATGTGGTCTCCTCATCTCAAAAAAGATATATTGGCGTTAGAAAAGGTTCAGAGAAGGGCAACTAAAATGATTAGGGGTTTGGAACGGGTCCCATATGAGGAGAGATTAAAGAGGCTAGGTCTTTTCAGCTTGGAAAAGAGGGGGATATGATAGAGTTATATAAAATCATGAGTGGTGTGGAGAAAGTGAATAAGGAAAAGTTATTTACTTGTTCCCCTAATATAAGAACTCCCTAGAATTCCACCAAATGAAATTAATGGGCAGAAGATTTAAAACAAATAAAAGGAAGTTCTTCTTCACACAGTGCACAGTCAACCTCTTGGCCTGAGGAGGTTGTGAAGGTTAGGACTATAACAGGGTTTAAAAGAGAACTAGTGAAATTCATGGAGGTTAAGTCCATTAATGGCTATTAGCCAGGATGGGTAAGGAATAGTGTCCCTAGCCTCTGTTTGTCAGAGGGTGGAGATGGATGGCAGGAGAGAGATCACTTGATCATCACCTGTTAGGTTCACTCCCTCTGGGGCACCTGGCATTGGCCACTGTCGGCAGACAGGACACTGGGTTGGATGGACCTTTGGTCTGACTCAGTCTGGCTATTCTTATGTTCTTGCCCTGACGCTGAAAACACTTCAAGGATATGCATGTACTGTTACCTGTAGTCATGAGTTCTGGCAGCCACAGGGCCACTCACACCAATTAACAAATACACAGAATTAAGTTTCAACCAATTATTTATTACTGAAATTTTTCCTACTGGGGGCCAGGGTACTGCCATAGGGATGCGGTACTGGAAGAAACGGGGGTTGGGGGGGTATTCTGGGCACAGAGTGCATCAGCCCTGGAGCAGCAGTGACACCCTGTGGCCAGTCGGGGTAAGGGACAGAGTGCATCCACCCTGGAGCAGCAGTGACACCTGGTGGCCAGTCGGGGTAATACACAAAGTGTGTTTCCCAGAGAGGAGTCTGTGGCCAGCAGGGGCAGCGCCAGCCTCTTCCCAGTGGGGGTGGGGGCTGAGGTGGAGTAGACAGAAGATTGTGGCTGCTGCGCCCCCCTCTCACCATGAGTCCCTGACACTCTTTGTGGCCCCACCCCCTGCAGCTCCTCAGTGAAGTGTCAGCCCCGCCTCCTCCCTCTGAGGCCCCACCCCCTGCCCAGGTCAGAGGCCAGAAGCCAGAGCCAGGAGGGGCGGCTGCTCCGCTAGCAGGTACCATGATGCAGGCAGCCACAGCGCTGCCCCATCTTATTCGCCTGCTGCTTGGCCTGTGACTGCTCCTCAGCTCCCAGCTGCCACCCTTCAACTGCTCGCAGCCCGTAAGAGCTGCCTGGGTGGGGGGCCGGGCCCCGGTGCGAGCAGGGTCCCCAGGCAACAGCAACCACAGGCAACTGACATCTCCTTGAGAGGGCACAAAGGGCCCCCCCAAGCTTGCCAGGCCCCAGTTAGATGCAGAGGCCTTTCCTCAGGGACTCCCAAGGCTAACGTAACCAATTCTCTCCACAGACAAGAGTCTTTGCAGCCCTCTCTCAATACTTAACATAAGCAAATTTCTGCAGATCACTGTCTGGTTTCCATCCCCAGGGATGGGCTCAGGGTGGCCACTCCTTCTTTTGGTCTCTGCCCCAGGCTGGCCAGTCTCTCAGCTACCCAATGTCATTAGGAACTGAAAAGAGAAACTGAGAACACTTGTAGCTAGGCCGGAACTGGTGCATGGAAGACCGACAGACAGACACGTGTCACCCAGCTGCTGCTCACTGGATCCTCCTTCTCTATTCCCCTCCAGCCTCCCCAGGGCCTAAAATGCTCATCACTTGTAGGGTACTGACAGCCCCCCAGGTCTCTCCACTCCCTCAGCCTGCCACACCCATGCCTGCACAGAGAGCTCTGGTCCTCTAAAGAAAGGGAAGATTGTTCTCCAGTTTCATACTCAATGGGGTGCCCAGTCACTCAGGATCTCCAGGCTAGCAGTATGACTGACAGGAACACAGCTCAGCTATATTTGTTCACAAGACGTGTCTGCCTTAGAACAAACCCAAACCCTTGTGGAAATAGCCACAACTACTCGTTCCAAACACACCCACCCCCCGCCCCTCCCGTTAGAAGAGCAGAAAAGCTCCACCACAGAACATGAATGAAGATAATGTGACCCACATGTCAGGCGCTAGAGGGAGGATGTTGCGCTGTCAGGGTGTGAGGCTGCCATGTCATCCCACAGGCCCTGCCGTGCTGAACGTTGCTCACTCACCCTCACCTTTGTGATCCTTTAAGCTCCTGGTCTCCAGGCTCCTGTGGAGTCAGTTTCAGATTCCACGTCCTCCCCCGAGGTCTCTCCGAGATGGCTGAGCATATCGTCTTCTCCAGCACCCGACTAGCCCTCAGTCCTGAGAACGCTGCTTCCAGCTCGCTGTGTGCACAGGGCAGGGGCATCCGGCTCACACCACAGCTTTGACAGGCTCTCACGGCTCTCAGGCCAGCCCTTCCCTCCTGCAGGCTGGAAGCATGGGGAGGGGACGGGGGATGGAGGAAGTCTTTAACCAGCAACCCGAACCCATTGCTTACCTGGGCCTGCAGCAGAGCCACGGTGACATGAGAGGTATGCATGGAAACAGCAGAGCCTCCCTTTTAAAACTGATGGGGCCAAGACCCCCCACATTGCTGTGCTCCTGGGCCCCCCCAAGCATTGCCCCGCCTGCTGGCCAGTTAGCATAATGCATAGAGTGTGTTTCCCGTAGAAGAGCAGTGACACCCAGTGGCCAGCAGGGGCAGTGCCAGCCTCTTCCTACTGGGCGGGCTCAGGTGGGCTAGAGGAACATTGTCTCAATAACCCTGGTCCCTGCTCCTCAGTTTAGTGCCAGCCGCGCCTCCTTCCTCCCACTCACTGTCCAGGTCGGAGGCCGGAAGCTGGAGCCGGGCAGTGCGGGGCGGCTGCTGCACTGGCTGGTGCTCACACCACTTTCCCCCAAGCACCCTCACTGCCAGGAACCCACATGATTCTCCTCCACCCCTCCCCATCCTCCCATATTGCAAGCTCCCAAGCCCTGGGGAAGCGGTAGGGCTCCAGCGGCTATTTAAAGGGCTGGGGCGGTAGAGGCAGCGGGAGCCCCAGACTTTTAAAATAGCCCCCAGAGCCCCGCAGCCCTACCCCAGGGCTCCAGCAGTGGGGCTCTGGTGCAATTTAAAGGGCCTGGGGCTCCAGCCCCTGCTGGGAGCCCCAGGCCCTTTAAATTGCCTCCTGGGGAAGCCAGGCCACCCCCGTATGGCACACCGGCTCTTGCTGGTACGCTGTACCGGGGCTTGGGCGCAGGGCCCTCTTAGGTGCGGGGCCCATGCCGGCCCTGAATGCTTGATCTCTTTATTACAGTGTGGACCTGACCCCTCCTGCCAGGGCTAAGTCCACAAACATTTTTCAGCCTCCCCAGTAATAAAGTCTCTGAACAAAATGCTAGAAAGGAGCAGAACCAAAAGGGCTGGGCAGGCTCCATAGGGGACACTGGCTCCTCCTTCCCCTCCGGTGCCCCTGCCATGCCCTGTTGCTGGCACAGAACGGCCACCCCATCTCCACCCCAGAGGGAGCTATGTCTCAGGGCTCCCTCAAACAGCATCCACTAACCCCGATCCCTTTTGGGGAATGACTCAGGACAATTTCCCACCCAAACAAGGACAAATTGCTGCAGATTAAATGGGGGGGGGGTAAGCCCCCCAAATATGAGGATAATTTAAATTGACATTTGAGAATTATGGAGAAAACCGGGAAAAATAAGAGACTAGAGAGTCAATAATTTTAGGAAAAACGAGGGAATCTCCTTGGGTTTTCTAGTCCTATGTGGTGAGGGGACAGAAAAGGGGAAGAAGTAGAGAGAATTGTTATCAGTATTTGAGAGGAAAGTGGCACAAAAAGGGAAAGGATGCAAGTAGCTCTGCTCATCCCCTGACACACACACACCCCCACACTTCTCCTCCTGGAATTTCCTGGCTGCACAGAGACCGTTCAACCCCCCACCTGTCCCACTAACCTTCCCCCGCCTGCAACTCCGGCTTTTCCCTTCCCTACCCACCACCACCAGCCACACAAAGGGGAATCCCCGGGCCCCATTCTCTGTCCCCACCTGAATCCCAGCTGTGCCTGGGGCAGCTCCGCTATAGCTCAGGCAGCTCCAACGCTGCTGGTAGCACATGTACAACCATGGAGCAGCTGCTCAGCCCGGGCGCTCGGATCACAATGGAGGCAGCAGCAGCGCCTGGTCTGTGCCCCATGTTGGGTCTCTGGGCTTTGTTCTCCTGCCTCCTTCTTCCCAGCACCCACCGCTCCCAGCTGCTCCCTTCCTGTGTCTGCAAATACCACCCCATGGCAGGCTGCAGCGCTCGCTGGGGCTGTCTCCAGTGCCTGAAGTTGCCTCCATCTCTGCTTCACCTGGGGGGGAGGGACAAAGAGAGGAGATGGTCCCAGGGTGTGAAAGCAAAATTAGGGGGCAGGGAAAGAAGGACTGTTTGGAAAGGTGGGGGGTTTTGCGAGGGGGGTGATCCAGGTGGATTCAGAAGAAGTTGGGCAGGAGAGGCTCAGGGAAATTGAGGGGAACCAGTGTTGGCCAGGGTTTGTACAGCACCTTGCACAATATGGGGTTCCGATCTCAGTCATGGTCTGTGCAGCACCTGGGAGCCCTGATGTCTGTTTCCTGATCACAGGCACTGGGAATGGATAGAGGGAAAACCTCAGCACCTGAAGGGTTAATGCAGCACTGTGTGCTGTCTCCGCTGGGTGGCGCTGCTGCTCTTATGAGGGGTTGTAAACAACCCTAGTAATTCCAGTCCCATGTGGCCTAGTGGTTAGGATTCCTGGTTTTCACCCAGGTGGCCGGGGTTCAATTCCTGGTGTGGGAATAGTGCAGAGCTTTTGCTCAGAGGGGAGGAAAGGAATGGGGAGGGATCCTGGAAGCAGGGGATTTGGACAGTGTTGGGAGGGGATCCCAGAAGTGGGAGTGGGGGGAAGAGGTGTGAGGGGAGATCAGGGAAGGATCACAGCAGTGTGGGAAGTGGGCAGCATGGAGAGCCCAGGCCTGGCATGGGGACTGGGAAGAGTGATTCTGCCCTTCTAAACTCACCAACGGCAGATTAGGTAGGCTTGGAAGAATTATGTATTTGTTGGTACATGTCAATTTCTGTGTAAACACACAACCCAATGGCAAAATATTTCCATCGATAATAATCAAAATTGACAGATGGGCAAAATAAGAAACATGCTGCTTGAGAACGTATCCTATTCTAATCCTATAGGGTTCCCTTATGCCTTAGGTGCCAACATGTGGACATTTAATTTCCCTCCTCATTTTCATACAGAGACACAATTTCCTTTGCATGGATCCATGAACAGCAAAATCTTCCTGTGTCTCTTGTCTGAGCCAGGGCATTTAATTCCATTGAAACCTTCTCTCCTGCAATGGCAATGGTTAGACAGGGGGGACATGGCCACTTTTCCCTGGTAGTGAGATATTCGCTCTCTTCTTTCTTCATGCTGCTGTTGTTATTCCATGAATCATAAAGGATGGAATAAAAAGCTGACTTTACTCCAAGGTGAGGAAAGAAAGGAGCCACCAACTCCCCAAAAGAATCTCAGTGACCCAGAGAAAACCTGCTCCCTGCTATTGGAATCACTGATGTGTTGGGGATATGATGGGAAAGGGACTGTCTGAATTATCAAGGCAGGGAATGAACAATCCATAGCAACGTCATTAACCAGAAACACACGCCAATCATACTGCAGCCAGTAGGGAAATGGGCAGCAATTCTTGCTGTTCAGCCATGGACACACTTACAGAACTGTACAGCAGTGAGTGTGGTGTCTTACCATCCAAGGTAATGGAGACAGTCTGGTCTTACTCTGAGGCAAGTCTACATTCAAAATGCTGCAGTGGCGCAGCTGCACCGATGCTGCTGCCGTGCTGCAGCGCGTTAATGAAGATGCTCTAAGCGGATGGGAGACAGCTGTCCCATCCGTGTAGTTCATCCACCTCCCTGAGAGATGATAGCTATGTCAGTGGGAGAAGCTATGTCGGTGGGTATGCAAGTGATGGTGTTTACCTGCATAGATAAAGTTTAATCAAACCTCATTTTTAAAACCACCTATAGTCTGGGAATGGAAAAGGAGCTTGTTGAAGCAGGGTCTGTCCTTCAAAGTCCTTAAGATCACGGACTCTAGCACAGCATTGTTATGGGGGTATAGGTCAGTGGTAGAGTGTTTGACTGCAGATCAAATCATCCAAGTACCCCTTTAGAAGCCTTTTTTTAAATGAAAACATATTCATATCCATTTCGATTATGTTCAGGAGTTCCACTGAATGGGGAGCTTGAAATGAATTTGAACACTCAACATTTTCCTGTGCAAATGAATAAAAACCCAGCTAACCTCTCCAGCAGCTAAAATCAGTTCCAGTCTTCTAAGGGTATGTCTACACTATGAGAGTAGTTCGATTTTACTTAAATCAAAGTAGTGGAACCGATATTACAAAGTCGAACGTGTGTATCCACACTACGAACAGTAATTCGACTTTGTGAGTCCACACTAACGGGGCAAGCGTCGACATTGGAAATGGTGCACTGTGGCCAGCTATCCCACAGTTCCCGCAGTCCCCGCTGCCCATTGGAATTCTGGGTCGAACCCCCAATGCCTGCTGGGGAAAAAAATGTGTCGAGGGTGGTTTTGGTTAACTGTCGTCATTCAACCGTCACTCCCGCCCTCCCTCCCTGAAAGCGCCAGCGGGCAATCAGTTCGCGCACTTTTCTGGTGAGTGACAGCGCGGACGCCACAGCACTGCGAGCATGGAGCCCGCTGCGACCATCGCTGCAGTTATGGCCGTTGTCAACACCTCGCACCTTATCATCCACCTTTTTCAGAAGCAGATGCTGAGAAATCGGGCGAGAAGTCTACGGCAGCGCGGTGAGGACATTAAGTCTGAGAGGGGCACAGACCTCTCACAAAGCACAGGACCCCGTGCCGTGGACATCATGGTGGCAATGGGTCATGTTGATGCTGTGGAACGGCGATTCTGGGCCCAGGAAACAAGCATGGACTGGTGGGACCGCATAGTGCTGCAGGTCTGGGATGAATCCCAGTGGCTGCGAAACTTTCGCATGCGTAAGGGAACTTTCCTGGAACTTTGTGAGTTGCTGTCCCCTGCCCTGAAGCGCAAGGACACCCGGATGCGAGCAGCCCTGACTGTCCAGAAGCGAGTGGCCATAGCCCTCTGGAAGCTTGCAACGCCAGACAGCTACCAGTCAGTCGCGAACCCACTTTGGCGTGGGCAAATCTACCGTGGGGGTTGCTGTGATGCAAGTAGCCAACGCAATCGTTGAGCTACTGCTCTCAAAGGTAGTGACCCTGGGAAACGTGCAGGTCATCATAGATGGCTTCGCCGCGATGGGATTCCCAAACTGCGGTGGGGCTATAGATGGAACTCAAATCCCTATCCTGGTACCGGACCACCAAGCCAGCCAGTATATTAACAGAAAGGGCTAATTTTCAATGGTGCTGCAAGCACTGGTGGACCATAGCGGACGTTTTACCAACATCAACGTCGGATGGCCAGGCAAGGTTCATGACGCTCGTGTTTTCAGGAACTCTGGTCTGTTTAGACGGCTGCAGGAAGGTATTTACTTCCCGGACCACAAAATAACTCTTGGGGATGTGGAGATGCCTATAGTGATCCTCGGGGACCCAGCCTACCTGCTAATGCCCTGGCTCATGAAGCCCTATACAGGCGCCCTGGACAGTGAAAAAGAACTCTTCAACTACCGTCTGAGCAAATGCAGAATGGTGGTGGAGTGTGCTTTTGGACGTCTCAAGGGAAGATGGAGAAGCTTACTGACTTGCTCTGATCTCAGCGAAACCAATATCCCCATTGTTATTGCAGCTTGCTGTGTGCTCCACAATCTCTGTGAGAGCAAGGGGGAGACGTTTATGGCGGGGTGGGAGGTTGAGGCAAATCGCCTGGCTGCTGATTACACCCAGCCAGACAGCCGGGCGATTAGAAGAGCCCAGCGGGACGCCCTGTGCATCCGGGAAGCTTTGAAAGCTAGGTTCCAGAGTGAGCAGGGTAACCTGTGACTATTACGTTTGTTTAAACAGAAGCTGAACCTGCCCCCATTTCTTTACCCAGTTAATGTTGACTATCCTCTCCAGTTACCAACCCCCTTGCCCCCCCTTCCAACACACCTTTAAAAATAAAATAAATGAAACTTTTTTCATTAACACCGTTTTCTTTATTAAGGATTTCGTGGTAAAGTGTTGAAACTGGGACGCAGACTGTGGTGGGGAGCAGGTGTAGTGATGAAAAGGACGCTTCTAAACTCGAGGAATGACAGGCTCCTGCTCCTAGAGCAGTCCGCAGTGGTAGACTGGTTGTTTCAACGGAGCCTGCCACCCCTCCTTTTCGGGACTCTTTGTGTGGGGGCTATGTGCCTTTGTGGCGGTGGAGGATGGTTACAGATCCCCTGCTGCGTGGCTCTGTCATCCAGGCTAAGGACCGCTGCATAAGATCTGTAGCCGCCGTCCCCCGCCACAAACTCACATAGCCCCCACCCCCCCCACAGAACATGAAAACCACCTCCCAGACTGACCAGGATGCCTAGTGACTGCAATGTGTGTGTGACCTGCTGCTGAACCTGGCCCCGTGTCTGTACCCTGGTAAAAGTGACTGTCCTCTCCAATTACCAACCCCCTTTCCCCCCTTCAAACACACTGTTCTCTAAAAGAACATGACGGAACAGTAATTAACAGAAACGTATTTTTTATTAACAACTATACAGTTAGGGGATGACACTGGGACGGGGGCTTGTGTGAGGTGCTTTTGGAGTGAAGGAAAGGACTTATCAAATCTTTGAAAATGAGAGCCTTCTGGTACTTGAGCAGTCTGCAGGGGTGGAGTGACTGTTTTCACGGCCCCTGCCACCCCTCCTTCTTGGGACTTTGGGTGAGGGGTGGATGGGACTTTGTGGCGGGGGAGGGCGGTTACAGATAGACTGCAGCGGGGCTCTGTCCTCCTGCCTCCGGTCCTGCAGAACATCTACAAGGCGCCAGAGCATGTCCGTTTGCTCCCTCATTAGTCCAAGCAGCGTTTGAGTTGCCTGCTGGTCTTCCTGCCACCACCTATCCTCCCGTTCGCTGTGTGATCGCTGGTATTGTGACATGTTCTCCCTCCACTGCGTCTGCTGGGCCGCCTCGGCTCGGGAGCAGCCCATAAGTTCTGAGAACATCTCGTCCCGTGTCCTTCTCTTTCGCCGCCTAATCTGCGCCAGCCTCTGGGAGGGACATGTCAGGAGACAGTCGCAGCTGTGGGATGGGAAAAAGGGAGTGAATTCCACACAAAGATACATTTTTATGAACAATGAACATAGTCTTTCTCTGTGAACAAGACCATGCACAGCACCTATCACATGCGCACTCAGGACAAGGTCGAATTTTCAGCCTTCCCATTCAGTGCCTGGGGTCTTGGAGTACAGATCACTCAAGCGGGGCAGGACAGCAGAATTCGGGTAGCAGGCGGACATGGTAAGCCGTAGACTTTTGGCTGCTGAAAGCTTAATTTATAGCAGTGACCTCCTTTCACGTTCAAAGCTATGCCCCTAGAGTTGGCCAGTTCCTGCTGTCAGCAATCCGGCCAGCATGAACTCTGCCCCTGTCCCACCCCCCTCACGGCTGTCCCCGGGAAAGATCCCTGTATGCTGCCCCTGTCCCGCCTCCACCGCGTGGCTGTAAACCGCCGGTTACAGTTATGTAAAGGAACAGGCAATCAGTCCCAATACTAACATTCCCCTAATTTAAAGCAGGTCACCATGAGTGATATCACTCTGATGAGGATTTTGGACACAGAGAAAGACCGCATGCT